CCTGTAATCCTAGCTACTCAGGAGGCTGAGATCTGAAGATCATGGTTCAAAGACAGCCCAGGCAGGAAAGTCCGTGACACTCTTATCTCCAATAAACCACTCAGAAAACCAGAAATGGCCCAGCACTCTCGTGGTAGAGCGCTAGCCTTGAGCTGAAGGACAGCATTCAGGCCCAGAGTTCAAGCCCTATGAGAGACAAAAAAAAATATGCATGGCCAACACAAAAATAAACACGTACCATAATAATAGAACACTAAAAACTACTTGTCCCCTAGCAAAGTTGTTCTTTTCTATTCTTATCTCTATGCTTATCTCTGTAATTTTGTAAGCCTCTTTTCTAAAAACACTTCCTAAAAAAATCATACACATCACACTGTGTTGATATTGCAAGAGAATATGAAGATGAGAAAACTAAACATACTCCAGGTTCATATTTTTATCCGCTAAAGATTAGTTAAGGCCAACAATACTCTTTTTAAGAATATTCAGGGCTGGGAAGGTGGCTCAGTTCTAGAGCGCTTGCTTTGCATGCATGAGGCCCTGGGTTCAATTCCTCAGCACCATATAAGCAAAAAGAAAAAAGCTGGAAGTAGCGCTGTGGCTCAAGTGGTAGAACACTAGCCTTGAGCTGAAGAGCTGAGGGACAGCGCCCAGGCCTAGAGTTCAGGCCCTACAACCAGACCCCCCCCCCAAAAAAATATCCAAACTCCCCCTATAAAATTAACTCAAATATTAATGCTGATGATTGATAAAGCAAACCAGAGAAATTGCAAGTCAACAATTTCCTAACAAAATTTAACTTCTATCATTCTTCTAAATTGTCTTAAGCACAAATAATTTATGTCAATATAATTCGTCTGTTTTTTAAAGCTGGGCACTGGTGGCTGTATTACTAACTACTCAGGAGGCTAGGATGACAGGGTACAAAGCCAAAGTCCTTGATACTCCATCTTCAAAATAACTCCATCTTCAAAATGACCTCCAGTCGTGTTTTGAGCAAGTAAGCTAAGCGTACTCAAGGCCCTGAATTCAAGTCCCTGTACCAACATAAAAATAAGTAAAATATAAATAAAGAGCTGGCCATGGTTGTACATGCCTATAATCTCAGCATATACTTAGAAAGATGAGGGCAGGAAGAACAAAATTTGGAGCCAGCCTGGCAACAAGTGAAATTCTGTCTCAATAAACAAGGGAAAACGGGCGCCGGTGGCTCACACCTGTAATCCTAGATACTCAGGAAGCTGAGATCTGAGGATCGAGGTTCAAAGCCAGCCTGGGCAGGAAAGTCTGTGAGACTCTTATCTCCAATAAACCACTAGAAACCAGAAGTGGCACTGTGGCTTAAGTGGTAGAGCGCTTGCCTTGAGCTGGAGAGCTGAGGGATAGCGCCCAAGCCCAGAGTTCAAGCCCCATGACTGACCAAAAAAAAAAAAAAAATAAACAAGGGAGAAACAAAGGGTAAACAAATGCAGTAGTGGTATTCAGTAGACATTATGTTGAAAATGAACTATACAACTTATATAAGTGGAGACAAGAAGGAAAAATTGGGAGAGAGTGAGGAAAGGGGTGACATTGTTTAAAAAGAAATGTACTTAAAAAAAAAATCAGTGCTGGGAAGGTGGCTTAGTGGTAGAGTGCTCACCTAGCATGCATGAAGGCCTGGGTTCGATTCCTCAGTACCACATGACACAGAAAAAGCCAGAAGTGGTGCTGTGGCTCACGTAGTAGAGTGCTAACCTTGAACACTGAGAAGCTCAGGGATAGTGCCCAGGCCCTGAGGTAAGCCCCAAGACTGGCAAAAAAATAAATAAATAAGTTTTGGGGCTTGACCTCAGGGCCTGGGCACTGTCCCTGAGCTCTTTTGCTCAAAGCTAGCATACTACCACTTTGAGCCACAGCTCTACTTCTGGTTTTCTACTGGTTAATTGGAGGTAAGACTCTGATATACTTTTTCGGATCTCAGACTCCTAAGTAGCTAGGGCTACAGGCATAAATCACCAGCACCTGAACAAGAAATGTATTCCTTACTTATGTAACTATAACCCCTCTGTATATCACCTTTATAATAATAGAAAAAATTAAGGAAGTACCACTGTGGCTCAAAATGGTACAGCATTAGCTGAGCAAAAGAGCTCAGAGATAGTGCCTAGGTCCCGAGTTCAAGCTCCAGGACCAATCAAAAAAAAAAAAAATAAGAAGCTAGGTGCTGGTGGTTTACATCTATAATCCTGGCTACTCAAGAGGCTGAGAACTGAGGATTGGGGTTCAAAACCAGCCTGGGTGCAAAGTCCATGAGACTCTTACCTCCAATTAACCACCAAAACCTGGAAATGGTACAGTGGCTCAACCTGGTAGAGTGCTAGCCTTGAGCAAAAAAACTCAGGACAGTGCCCAGGCCCTGAATTCAAGCCCCATGACCAACCAAAAAAAAAATTAAAAAACAACAAGGTACTGAAGGCCTAGTTCATGTGGTAAAGGACCAGCCTTTGAGTGAAAGCATCAGACCCTGAGTTTAAGTCTCAGTGGGGAGGGGAGCTAAACAAAAAAAAGAGAAGGAGAAAGAGGAGGAGGGACAACAACGGTAATAATAATAACCCAAAGAGAAATAATGTAAATACAGGAAAAGTTTGTTTTGGTTCATGATTTCAAAGGTTTCAGTCCATGGTCAGTTGGACTAATCTGTCTTTATGAGTCTGTGGTAAGGCAGAGCATCATGATGGAAGGGTATGGGAGAGGAAACTACTCACCACAGAACAGCCAGGAAGCAGAGGAAGAGAGGAAAGAGAGGGGACAAGATCTATCTTTGAAAGGAACACTCCCATGACCTACTTCCTCCAAGAATTGATGGTTAGTAGGCATTATTTTGATGTATATCCAATTAATTCTAAGAATAATCCTATGAAAAAAAGTATTATCCTAATGCTCATTTTCAAATTAAGAAACTGAGCCATGATAAGCCCAGCTATTAATGAACTTGGGAGATATTCTACACGAATATATAAATACATTAAAACTAGTAGAGCCACAATTTATAACAAAACCCAGAAAAATCAGGTTCTAAAACCCACAGAGCTGATAAGATGAAATATTCACAAAGCATAAAGCATAACAGCTGTCCAAAAAAGAATATCTCTATCTCTTATCTCTGTAAGAAAAGTATCTGACAGACTGCTTCCTATTCTTGGGGCAGAAAAAAAAAAAAGATCAAACTATCTTAGCTCTCTACAGCACTTCATTTCTACCTCAAAGAGAATTATCCTTCAGTTTTCTTCACTTAAACATCCTAATTACCTAAAAGCAAAATACATACAAAAGACCTAGGAGCCTAAGAAATGTATTGGTTATGAAAATATATGGGTGGGGTGATGCTAGCCTGTGGTCCCACCTTCTCAGGGAAGTGGAATAGGAGGATTGGGGTTCCAGGTCAGTCCAGGCAAAGAAAGTTAGAGACCCTATCTAAAAAGTAAACTCAAAAGCTCAAAGCAAAAGGACTGGGGCATGGTTCCAGTAGTAGTAGTATGCTGGAGGCCCAGAGTTCAATTCCCAGGGCAAAACAAGAACAAAACATGCTTAACACTTCCCTACATCTATAGCTGGGGGCCAAACGGGAATCTTGACTCCACCATTTATCAGCTGCATGATTTTTTTGAACTTTTTTTTAAATTTTTTGTCTCAGATTTTGGTAAAATGAGGATAACAATGTGTGTGTGAAAATAATTCCCAGTGCTTGTGTACTAGGTACTGTTCAAAGCAGTTTGCATATGCCTAATTCAATACTCCACAGCAAATCTGTGAGGGATATAAACACTTGTTAAAGTCTCATTCTTACAAAAGCAGCATTGACAATTTAACTGTGTGACTCTGGATTCCAAGATGTTTATCACTAGGGGAGGAGGGGGAGGCATTATGAAGATAAAGAGGATTAACATGTAAAATGTTTGATTCAGTGCCTGACAGGTAGTAACTATTCAATAAAAATTAATTGTTATATGATTTCTTGGCTTACGCTCAAGATTTCCCCATTTCTTTGGAGCTTTGCAATATTATCCTCGAAAAGGTAACGCCTCTGAATCCCCTAGTTAGACATTTACTTTCCAAATAGCCGAAAAGCCGCAAAGAGAAGGGGCAGGCATACTGCTACATCCAATACCCTGACTTGACTTTCCACAAAAAACAACTGCTTTTGGACCAGCTAAGGCAAACACTGCGTCTAGTGCCTAGGTAGTGTTAGATCAGACAATTACACAGAATCAAAGATCCTCCAGCTTCTTATACAACCCGTATGAAACCACTGCACCCTTCTTTAAATGTGCTGGTGGGACCCCGGGCTGTACCAGGCCCCTCTGCGAGCCATGTAAATCCTACATCCCTCCCTCGGCTTTTGCCGCTTTCCTACCTCCCGTCTAAAGAGCTAACTTTGAGGCTGGGTTGGGGGAAGAGTGTGCTTTTCTAGACGCCGCCTAATAAAGCGCGGATGCGGTCCGGGCCTGATGTTTTCTTTCTGACAGACGCTCTTGGCCGGCGTCCCCAGGGGTTCTCTAGGGAGGCCCGCATAGGTCTGGGCCCAGGAACGCCCCGCAAGCCCCGGGATAACCCCTGGCGCAACCGATCGCGCTCCGGAGACCTTCCTTCAGGAAGAAGGGCTAGTCCAACCAGCTCTCCCGCACGGGATAACGCCCAGGGTGAACCCGCTCCAGGGAACCCGGCGGAGTTTCCTTTACAAAGAGCCAGTGGTAGCGCCCCTCTGGGGAAGAGCAGGCCCCACGCCCGTCCACGCTCCGGATCCCACGGCCCCACACCGCGCGTCCACCACAGACGCGGCCTCCGCGGAGGAGTACCCGCGCCCCGCCTGCCCCCGCAAATCCCCCACACACTTGGTTCCGCCCACCCGCCGCGAAACTCACTTGGCAACTGCGGCCAACCGCCCCCTGCCCCCGCCAACCGCGCCACTTGGTTCCATCCGCACACACGCTCCAACTCCGTCCAACTCGTCCTCTTACCCAAAGACATATCTATTTTGTCCAGGTTTTCATTGCTGCGGGCTTTCGGCGGCGGTGACTGGGTTGTCGCGGCTCCCACTAACCGGGTTCCGAACCGGTTCATGGCTGTAAACGTCGCGCAGGAACGGGCAGCAGGGAAGGCCGGAGTCAGAGGCCTGCCACCTCCCACTCACGCACGCAGACTGGCCGCACTGCCGAGCACGCACGCGCAGTGACGGCGTCCTTGCCCTCCCACCCGGCTGCGGGCGGGGCGAGGAGGGGCGGGGCGGAGGGCTACCGAGACGAGCCGAAGGCCAGAGAGGCCCAGGCGGACCACTGCTTCTCCTGGCCCTGGCTGGCGGGTCTCCGAGCAGCACTGAATCAGCTGGTCCGGGCGCCCAGCCAGGACACTGGTGCAGCTGTTCGCTGACTTTCGGCTAGACCCTGAGCACCTCAATAACACAGGTCTTAAAATGACAGCTGGAGGGTGAACAGTAGACACTGTAGAAAATGAACTGTGCAACTTGTGGGCAGGGACGGGAGGTGGAAACTAGGGGAAACACCAGGGAAGGGGTGACATTGTCCAAAAAGAAATGTACTCATTACCTGACGCATAAGTAACCCCTCTATACAACACATTAGTAATAACAATAAAATCATATTTTTAAAAAATGACAGCTTGATCCTCTGTGGGCCTCGGGTCCCTCCTCCTGCACCAAAACCTTCTCGGCTCCGGTGCACGTTCCACCGCAATGCAGCCCCGCACGACAGCCCCCAGCCAGTGTGGACTGCAGTACTGCGTCCCCGCTCCCCTTTCCCCCATACGCTCCTCCACCTGCAGCCTGCTGAGCTGCCACGTCCAAAGAACGCAAAGGCTGCAGTGGCAATTCTTGCGTCACGTTAACAATAAAAGTAAATCCTAACGTTTGCCATATCCGCATCATCTCTCTTCAATCGGCATTCTCTAAACATTTGGCACGATACTTGCCACCTTAATAAGACCTCATCTTCCCTTGAGAGGGTAAGTACCTCTGCTTATTTAGCTGCATTTTTTTCTTCTAATTCATTGGCGTTGGGAATTGATAAGGGAGATGGTTTCTCTCACTCTAATCCTTGTAAGAAAACTTAATATTTGATGAACTCCTGCTTAATGGCTCCCCCCCACCACCAACATTTACAAAATGTGATGATCTCCATTGTCCCTGCCTCATTCTTCTCCCACAACACTCTTGAGAGAAGAAAACATTTAGATTCGTTCATCTTCATATAAGCTGGCTGAAACATTTCCATCTAAAGAAAAACAAAAAAGGGATAGGCATTCTGTCTACCTACAAATCTGTGCCACTTTTCTACTTCCTAAAATTGCTTTAGCATAGAAATGAGCCAGAGCTTTGTGGTGACCTAAAGTATCTCAAAACCACAGTTGCCTATATTTAATTAAGTCATGTCACAATGCTATGGGGTTTTCCAATACTTGTGACACATTTTGCTATTTTTTTGCTTGGGGAGGATCCCATGTCTTAAAATACCTATTATGCACATTGCATTAATGAATAACTTATTTTCTAATTGTTATTAACAAAACCCCAGCTAAGTTCCATCTCTCACTTTCCATGTCCTGAGGAAAGTGTTATTCTATTAGGCTTTTGAAAATACTGTAATTTCTTCCTCTCAAAGGTCAAGTTATTTTTCTTCCTCCTGACAAATATATAACCACATAGTGAGTCAGCCTAGGACTCATGAGGGAAGCAAGAGAAGCAGGCATGGTGGTGCACACTTGTCATCTCAGTATCTGGGAGGCTGAGGCAAGGGGATCCCAGTTGGGGTTACATAGCAAGACCATGTCTTAAAAAAAAGATCCCCAAAACGATATGTAGCAAGTCAAGGAGAATAGCATGTATGTGTTTGGCACAGGTGTTTGATTTTATTACTCCACCCTGAAGCCTCTAACCTTCTCTGGACTTCTAACAATTAGGGAAACTAGGTCATAGAGATAAAAGTTGATAGGCAACCTGGATTTAACTGAGTAATTCCTTTATCATGCATTATGTGATCTTGTAATAATATCTGAGCTTTATACTCACTTCAAAACAATACTGTAGTAATGATACCAAGAACAGTTTACACTGTATTTTCTTAGTTTCTTACAGTTCTAAAATATTGTAAGCCTTCTCCCACTAGAAATAACTTCTACAATCTCTGCTCATTTGTAGGAATAATCTATAAAGAAAATTTAGATTAATTTCCTAATCTTATAGAAAGTTTAGGTTTTGTAAGTATGCATGAGTATGGAAGTTTTGTACTTTATTTATAGGACAGATAACAAAACTCCCAAATGCATAAAATCTTCCTTATCACCAATATAATAAAGATTCCCTATAACCTGTTTTTTTCCCTCAAAACTGAAGTCCTGTCTCAAATCTCCCTAGTTCTAAAGGACATGCCTTAATATTTATATAGTAACTCTTTTTTTTTTGGTCAGTAGTGGGGCCTGAGCTCTGAGCCTGGGCACTGTCCCTCAGCTCTTCAGCTCAAGGCTAGCACTCTACCTACCACTTGTGCCACAGCGCCACTTCCAGTGTGTTCTGCTTATGTGGTGCTGAGGAATTGAACCCAGAGCCTCATGCATGCAAGGCAAGCACTCTACCACTGAGCCATCTTCCCAGCCCCAGTAACTCTTAATATTGTAATTAGCTGTTTCAAGTGCCCCCAAGGATTAAGGGTCTCAGAGTCTCAGAACAATCACTCAGATTCCTAAGAGAAAAGCAAGATTACTAGAGAAAGGCATTATGGATCACACACACACAACAAAACAAAACAAAATAGGGACCAGAGAAATACAGCAAAAATGAAGACAAGGGGCTGGGAAGGTGGCTCAGTGGTAGAGCACTTGCCTTGCATGCATGAGACCCTGGGTTCGATTCCTTAGCACCACATAAGCAAAAAGAAAAAATCCGAAAGTGGTGCTGTGGCTCAAGTGGTAGAGCACTAGCCTTGAGCTGAAGAGCTGAGGGACAGTGCCCAAGTCCAGAGTTCAGGCCCCATGACCGGACCCCCCCCCTCAAAAAAAAAAGACAAATTAAGAAATCAGAAGCAGAACCTGACCAGTAAGTTGATTCACCAGCTGCATAGGCTGGAGTCAGAAAGGTAACCTTGAAAATTTCTAGGCCACAATAGTTTATTTAATCATATATTCATTGCTCACTGGGTTTTATAATTTAGGCCCTGGAGGAGGGGAGGGGAACAGGACACACAATACTAAGCACAAGTGGATGTAGTTCCTATTTTCATACAGCTTGACAAGCAAAATATTTTCTGAGCAGTTATATGAATAAGGCTGGACAATGGGCATCTATTGCTGGAATTCAGCTTTGTTGTTGTTGTTGGTTGTGGGGCCTGAACTCTGGGGTCTGGGCGCTGTCCCTGAGCTCTTCAGCTAAGGCCAACACTCGACCACTTGAGCCACAGCTCCACTTCCAGCTTTTTCTACTTATTTGGTGCTGAGGAATTGAACTTAGGGCCTCATGCATACGAGGCAAGCTCTCTACCATTGAGCCACCATCCCAGCCCCTGGAGTTCAGCTTTATCTAAGGTGAAATAAATAGAATTCAAGCGTCTGACTTTTTTTTAGAAGTTGGATTTCTTACTGTGTAAATAAGACATCTAAGATGGCAGAGAAAAATTCGGATTTCAGGTAAACAATGAACAATGAATTTGATGTGTATCTCAGAAAAACAGCAATATTTCATCTAGTAATTTAAGATGTTTGTACTAACCAGTTATTTCATTATCTGAAATTCCAGTTGATCTAAATCTGACAATCTTAACGGCATACTTTCCTATTAACACTTTTGTACTCTCCACAATCTGCTTAGAATGCTGCATTTTCATCAAAAGCAAGCACAACTTCCATATATACATTTCACTCCTTTAAAAATTTTTGAAAGTGTCTTTCAAGTTTCTCTTTTCTCTGTTCTATGAAACATCATTGAGACAATAAATATGTTTTGTTCTGGTCCTGGGCTTGAACTCAGGGCCTGGGCACTGTTACTGAGCTTTATCCCATCAAGGCTAGCACTCTACCACTTGAGTCACAACTCCACTTCTGGCTTTTTTGGGGGTTAATTGAATATAATAGTCTCAGGAACTTTCCTGGACTAGCGGTCTTTGAACTCTGATCCTCAGATCTCAGCCTCTTGAGTAGCTAGGATTACAGGTGTGAGCCACCAGTGCCTAGCAATAAATAACATTTTTAAAGAGTACAGATGAGATAGATATGTCGGTATACATGAATATGCCTATGATAACATAACCACAGTCAGAACAATAAATGTATCTATCATTCTTAAAAGATTTTATGTGCTTCTTTATCATCTTTCCCCTCATTGCCTATGTAACCACTGATCTGATTCCTGTCACTGTAGAATCATTTGCACTACCTAGAATTTTGTATCAATGGAATAATACTGTATATTCTTTGACTGAATTGTTTCACTTAGCATAATTCTCATTTGTATTTCTTTTGTTTTTCTTACCTTATTGCACTGACTGAGGACTCTAGTAATATTTTTTATTATAATGAAATTAGTATCTTTGTCTGTTCCCAACTCCAAAAGGAAAGCATTCAGCCCTTCATCTAAGTATGACATTATGATGGATTTTGTTTAGATGAAGTTTCCTTCTGCCCCTATTTTGCTGAGAGTTTGAATTATAAACAAATGCTTAACTTTAATGCTTTGCTACATCTATTAAGATGATCTTTTTTGTGTGTGTGCCAGTTCTGGGACTTGAACTCTGGGCCTGTCTTCTATCCCTAGTTCCTTTTTGCTAAAGGTTAGCAATCTACCAGTTAAGCCATGGGTGCCACTTCCAGCTTTTCCTGTGATTAATTGCAGATAGGAATTTCATAGATTTTCCTGCCTGGACTGGCTTCAATTCTCAATCTGTGGATCTCAGCCTCCTGACTAGCTAAGGATTACAGGAGTGAGCCACCAGCACCCGACTTCAATTTTTTTTT